TTTTTTGCGGTTGAGGCGATGACAAAACGTGTCGTGCGTGTCGCCAGCTGGGACGGAGCTGAGCGGGTCATGGGCTTCTGCGAGGGTCGCGATAAACCGCTCTACACTGTGCTTTACCCCTGTCCCGTGGGCGCCTGACGTACGGACAGACAGACAGACAGACATCTTTTGGGCGGTCTCCTCCTTGCCTCGCTGGGTGAGCATCATCCGCAAGCGGAGGAGAGCCGGCAGCCTCTTCTCCAGACACTTTTTCCAGAAGGCATTCCCAGTTCCTGGCTGCCACCGGTTTTTCCGAGAAGCAGCGTGGCAAACGGAGCTCCTCCGTCTCCCCGCGGTTTTGGGTGGCATCCATGGAAAGCGGCTGGTTGGCTGCCCTGAGGGCTGGGGATGCCACGCCGTCTTGGCCCCGGGTGTGAAGGCCCCTGCTGCTGTCACCTCCTGGGAGTGGGGATGAGGGGTGGTGGATGGATCCCCGCTGCGCTTCCCACGTCGGGGCTGGGCGAGCCACCTCATGGAGTAGCGCAGGCTAGCTGTGAAGTTTGGGGTTTGGAGTATGTCGGAGCAGTGACTCGCCTAGCTGTGAAACAAAGGTATTTTGGGTTTCTGTACCTGCTTGCTCAACACCAGCCTTTGCAGTTTACATCTGACCGTAATTTTGGTGATTAAAAATGTAGATGTGTAAGCATTTATTCCATACAGCTGACTAAGTTAGGTTTCTGCTGACGTGTTGGGAGGTTCATTATGCTAAAGATTTGCCTGTGGTTACTGTGTTGCAGCAGAATCACCGAGAATGCAAAGAAATCCTTGGCCTCCCTGAAGAGACAAAACCCTCGGCTTGAGCCGACGCTCGCCGTCGTTCAGGTAACGTGTGTCTGCGTGCGTGCTGGCTGGGAGCGAGAGATCCCCTGTGGTGCTGCTGCTCCTTCGAAAGTCCAGAAGCGCACGATGCTGAAAGCAACTTTCATTCAAGGGAAGTGGTAGGAGGAGGTCATCCCATCAGACTGTAGACAGAGGAGTTTTCAGGCTCGTACGCCCTGCTCCGGGTCTGCAGCAGCCACAGCAAACTTCAGGCTGTGGGAAGAGTTTGCAGAGGAAGGGAATGATTTTATCCCTTCCTTCCCTTGCTAACACAGTCTTCCCCGTTGCAAGGACAGATCGCCTTTTCCCACAGCTTGTCTAAGTTTTCTGACGTGCTTAAAGTCAAAGCAGTTGTTCTCAACCTTTATTTAGCTTGAAGCATTTGTTGCAGTCCTGAAAAAAGCATTTATGTGCCTGAAAACGTGGGCCCCCCCTTCACCCCCCGCCCCTGGAATCACATTGCCGGGCTGAGGGAAGGCCCTGCTGCTTCCTGCCAGCAGTCCTAAGGAGAGGGAAGCCACACTGAGAACTTCCAGGCACCTCAAAAGGGCCTGCGTGAAATAAATGCGCTGTGTAAAACGTCAGTGTCCTTTAGAAATAACAGCAGTTTCTTAGGTGAAGTAGTCTTGTGGTAACTGAGAGCTGTTGTATTGCTAACGCCTGGAAGAGCTTTCCTTTCCATCCCACTGGTGCTGCCACCTTGGTGATAGGCAGCCAAACTCACAGAGGAGCATTTCCATCCCTGCGAAGCTGAGAGATGTCCCTTCATCGCCTTTGCGGTGCCAGGGGTACAGGCAGTGCTGGGCTGGGAGGGGACAAGCCCTCGTCCTCTCTCAGGAGCTGCATCTCTCCGTGTCGCCTGTGCTCATAAATGCTCTTTTCTTCATCATCAGCAGTCTTGAATTATTTGGGATTAACACGTTGCTAAATTGTTACGGGCTTGAGCAAAAATCGTTTTGGGTGACGCTGGCGATGGTTGAAGCCGGCACTGGCAGCTAACAGCAATGTGAGTGGCTCTGCTCTGATGGGAAGCCACTGGCACCAGCTCTTGTGGAAAAAGCTACATAGAATGTGTTTATGAAATTGTAACAAACCCTTTTAATAAGATTTATTTTGGTCCTGTTGTCTGGGTTGGAAGACAGGTTTTATATATTACCACATAGCTGTGAGGAGTGTCTTACTCATTTTGTTACGAAGCCACTAACATTTCTGAGGGTGGAACCCTCACTGATCTGTTGGTAGGAGTCTTCTGGCTCTGGATACTGAATTCTCAGTTTCATTGTTACAATATATAAAAATATTTGAAGAGCCTTCTAAAATTCAAGACTAACTTGAAAGTAAAATTCAGTTGTAATTATTACAATTAAATATCATCATTTGTATGGTGCATATAGGTGTAGAGACCTCAGAGAGGAGGATTCCTGGGTGAGGTGGTCTCCCAGATAAATCTGCCCAGGAGATGCTTCTGTCCCAGCACAGGTGCCACACTGGCCACTGGGAGGAACCTTCCTTCTGTGTTGACAGCACTCCCTGTAATATACAATGATAATGATTTGCCTCATTTTTGGTGGTAAGGCAAACCAGTGCTGTTAGGTGATGTGGGGACACTGCGGGAAATGCTAGTATGCGTATTTTGTCCTTGTTACATGTGGCTGGATGGAGAATGGTATCTTCAGATACAGACTAGTGCCTTTCTTGAGCAGTAGATTTATGTTAAGGAAATGGCAACTCATGTCTATAAAAGCCAGGCTGATATCAACACACACTTAAACTGATCAAGCCAAAGTAAATTTACTGGATGACCTTCTGCTTCTTTCTTAAAATTTCTAGGCTTAGTATTTGTTTGAATACTAGTAGACACAAACATCCTCACTATGTTTCTTGTGCGTTAGTGCACTTGTAAATGTAAATTTATTGTTTTAAAACTTAGTTTCTGTTTTGTTCCCCTAGGTGCACAGTGATCCTTTGATTCAAGAAATACACAAGAACTTTGCCAAAGAGGTAAGCTTTAGCCGATACGCTTGTTATTAATCATGAGCTGCTTGCCTTTGGTAATTCTAAGTATTTTCTTTTGGCAGGTTGGTCTGCGTGTTATTCACATCTGCCTCCCTGAAGGCAGCGGCAAGGATGAGGTAACTGCAGTACCTGAAGGACTCTTCCTTTTTTGCTTTTTGCCATAAACTTGTATTTATTGCTGACATTCACTGACACTTTGACTAACATCTATGAAATCAAATAAGGGTTGGGACTGCCTTAGTTCAAGTAGCAAGTATTAACCCCCCTGTTGGCAAGCACGGGAAAACAGGGAATTAACGTGTTTGTCTGCTGTCCCCCAGCAAGCTGAGGCAGGATCAGCAGAGCAGCGTTTCGGTTTCGTGCCTGGTGTTTCACTGCAGCGTCCCCTCATGCCAGCACGGGTATCCTATTCTCCCACAGTTGCTCGTGACTGTAATTGATTCTTGCCCAAGTTCTTCAGGGAAATTAGATATTAATCGATTTAGAGGGGGAGGGGGTTGAATTTATTTGCCTGCTTATTGATCTTGTAATGCTGAAAGTGTGTATTAAAAAAAATCATCTACCCCAAATCACTCGAGGGCTGAATTCTTACCTTGTCGAAGGCACAGCACTAGTATCAAGTATGTTCTGAATATAGCAAAGCATATTAATATACATGGTCCTGAGGCATCTGAAAGTACAAACAGCAGAGGAATGTGTAGTGAAAGATGCCACTGTTCCCAGCCGGCCACCTTGTGCTTGGCGAGTTCGGTAATCCCGCAGGCTTGCGGGTTGTGGGTACTGTGTTGTATTTGGTACACTTTGTTTTTAAAATGTTACTGGCTTGCAGCGTCATCTCAAGAGCAGCTCTCAGATGTATCGAGAGGAGCTTACTCTGAGGAATTTCAAGAGTCCGGTTTTGTGGACGATGAGAAGTCAGCTACCCATTTAAGAGGGGTGGGCTTTGGAAATGAAGATCAAATACACTTTGCTGTTGGTAAATGTGCTTTATCTGCTGAGTAACACAGTAGGAGGAGATAGGTAAAATGTAGTGAGTACGCAGCAGTAGTTGCTGCTGACTTTGAAGTAATATCTCAGGAAGCGGCTGAGCTGTGTATGTAAAGAGAAAAGCAGGGCATTTTTGTTATTTGAAGAAAGTCGCATTCAGTAAAGTTGCTAATGGTTTGCTTGCTCTCCTGCTTACTCACTGTGACAAAGTTTTTTTCATTGTTAAAATCCACATCCCAGCTTGCATTCCCTGGTGTTTGGAAAGATGGGAGGGATTTCAATACGGTGCGCTTTTTGTTCTGCCATCACTGCCTGCGTACAGTAAAGGCAAGTTAATACAAAATTGCTCTACCCTGCATGAGTTCTAAGGGTTTTAAATGCTGTGATGATGGAAAGCCAAATTGAAGTAAAATGCAATGAAAATGGAAAACTGAATTACTTTCCCAGGAAGCAGGAATACATTTCAAAGTTCATTAGATTCAGGCTCTTCATGAGCCATGTTTCCTTTAATTGGTGTGTAGGCCCACAACATTTTGTAGCATCTCAGGATGTTTTTCTGGTATATACACTTATCCTTACTTTCTATTAGAATGTGTACCAGCTCCTTTGCTTTCAAATAGCAGAGGGTCTTAATACATATGCCAGTTTCTGTCTGAGAAGTCAGCAAACTAAACGGGCATTTCTATACCAGTGACATGTTTGTATGATCTTTGTTAACATGAACTTAGCACGTTCTCTTGGTTCAGAGCTGCAGATGGTCGAACCCCTACCAAATTCCCCTGGCTTAATGTTGATTGCATATCAAGTGTTTGGGCTATAGAGTTCACAATTACATCGAATAGTTTACATGAAGAGCATTTTAGGAAGGCATGGTAGTAGCTAAGGGAAAAACCCTTATTTTCTGTTGGATATTGATCTAATTAAATCACACAGCTTTGTGGTGATTGCACACGGATTTTATTTACACGATGGAAAGATGTGCTCACATGATGTTTCTCACGAGAGAACTTCCACATGTTTTATTCCACTGTATTCTTCGTGGTCGCAGCAGAACAGCATGTATCGCTATGGACCGGGGTTGCACTTTAGCGATGAAGCAGTCAAAGATAGGCAGTACAGTCTCGGGTGTCAGATATGACCAGTTATAAAACATTTGAACTTGCATTTGGTTCAGTACTTAGAATTCATGAACTTTTGTGCAATGCCTTTTCAAATCAACCGTTCTTCACAAGATGACTGTCAGCTCTTAGGATCAGGGTGTTTTGGGAACAAAAATTGGTAACTGTATGCTGGTTTAATAAAGTGGATTTTCTTTTGTGTAACTGGTTACAACTTGTTGTCCATGTTCTGTGTTGGGATGTGATCTGGTCCTCTTTTGAACTATGTTGTAGCCAAGGCTTCTTATTTCTAAAAGCATCTTCTGAAGCCGTTACAGTGCCCAGCTTTTGCTGAGATTTGGAACAGTGAAAGACAAAATGCTTTTGGCAGGATAATGTTGCGTGATATGTGTTAGCTTTGCAAAATGTTTAGAGTCAGGGTGGCTTAATTTGGTAAGCCATGGAAATATAAAACAATGAAAGCGGGTATTGCTATTTTGTTTAGAAGTTTCAGTAATGTGTGAGGGAAGCACAGGTAGCCATAAGGTAGTTTTAAAATAAAGGTTTTATCCCCTTCTAATTAGATTATTCTGTTGTCTGGTTTTTTTCTAATCTTTAATGCTTTTTATTAACTTCCTAGATTGTCAATGAAATCTTGAGACTTAATGAGGATCCTAATGTGCAGGGCCTTGCCCTTGACCTCCCAGAAAGCTTATATAGCAGTAAGGTATTAAACGCTGTGAAACCAGAGAAGGATGTGGATGGGTAAGTGAAGCACTGAGAAATACTCAGAAATAATATTAGCAGACACAAGGCTGATGGCTCTGTAAAATCGATTTTCCCCTGTGCTTTCCATTAATGGATTCCTCAGTCAATGCGTCTAGCTGTGCTATTGAGCAGTGATGAAAGATGCTGCTGAATCAAGGAGAAGTCTTTTGCTCAAGTTGTTTTGATCGTTATCTCCTTGATCTTTATATACTGTATATTCAGGACATGGTCTTTTCAAAGAAATAAAAAATGAAGTTCTGACTTACTGACGATACTTCAGGTATTTCGGTACTTCAGTAATACAAATGGTAGTCACAAAGTACTAACACAACCCCCAAAATTTTCACAAGAACGATTGATGAAAAAGTCGCAGAGAACGTTTTACCTTCCTTACAGCACTCCCTCACAGTGGGAGAGTAGGCTATAATAGTTTGGACCCATTAGCACAACTTTCCAGTCAGTCTTGAGTTGCAATGCTCTCTGGAGAGACTGCCGGCACAACATAGCTGTCTGGGTTACCGTTCTGCTGCTCCCAGCTGCAGACTGTTACCCCCCCTTTTTTTTCCCCCACTTTTTTTCCTCTCTCCTGTTTTTTTTCATATCATGAAAAAAATCTGAAAACCTTGCATATTAGTTGCTTTTCTATTACCTGGGGTACCGGAGATTGACAGAGAATGGACAATTCAGGGCATCCTTATGTATGAGAGAAGGCAGCGCAGCGCGGAAGCGCCCAAGTTCCCCCCGGCAAGGCAGCCTAAGCCCAGAAGGACATCGTGCCTCCAGCTCAGCGTGGCTCTGGCAGCGCTGGTCTGGTTCCCTGGCAGCCACTGAGGTGCTGTGGGTAGCCCGGTGATGTGCCCTGGGGCAGCCCAGTGTGCTGTGGGTAGTAAAGTGCTGCCTGTGTATCGCGGGCTCGTCTGTCTTGTTCTAGCTCACAGATCCCTTTCCTGGCCTCTCACGAGGCTCCCAGTTAGACAGGGTTTGTCTGACTGGGATGTGGGATGATACAAATCGGCCACAATACATGACTATCAAAAGATTTTCTTTTATGAGATGTGTTTGCTCTTGGGATTAGCTGTTGGCCATGTTGCAAGCTTTACTGAGGATTTATGTTACACAAACTCTTTTTCTTTTTTTTTTTTTTGAATTGCCATATTTTTCCACTGCAGATTATCCGATGTGAACCTAGGACGCTTGGTACGTGGCGATGCCTTCGACTGTCTCGTTCCTCCTACAGCGAGTGCTGTGATGGAGCTTCTTGAAGATTTAGGTGAGACCTTCTATCGTAATTATTACATTAATTTTAGCCTAATTGATTTTCTCAGTTTTGCTTCTGACTGAGAGACAAATATAATCTCAGTCAAATATAGTAGTGTTTTCTGGTTTGTGTAGTTTTCCCATCCCATGTATATTTGTCTCCTGCGAGTGAGGAGCCTCCGTGAGACCTGAATGCAATATTTGCAGAAATGGGTCTCAGTCCTACAGGTTTTGGAGATTAGGCAGGGATTACCTGCCATCAGTGAATCTAGTCTCGCTGAAGCCACCCGAGACATCCGAGTCTTCCAAACCAAAAATACAAACATCACTTGGGGATTTCGCTTGGCAATTTTGATTAGTGTGAACAGCTGGAGAAATCAGGTCTGCCTGTAGATAACTGCGGAGCGAATCCTTTGGTTTGGATCGTGTGGAGTAAATGCTGGCATTGAAACGGCAGATTTAAGCAGGTGGCTGTAGGGAGTGTGGAGACGCTGTTAGCTGAAGGCAGCGTTTCAGAAGTAGCCTCTCTTCTGGTGATTCGTAACTGTGGAGAGAAGGATTTCTGTAACAGAACTGTGAGCGGGAGGTCAAACGTACTTGGTAACAAATACGAATGAAAGGATTCGTGCAAATAAAATACCAGGAAACCAGAAGAGCGGCATTTGCTTACTGGAATCAGAGAGTCACCAGGGAACAACTTAAAACCTGCGGTTTGCCTTACTGCCTGGGCTCGGGGAGAGCCGCCCGCAGCGGCCGAGCTGCTGCGGTTGCGCCGGGGCATGGCGCAGCC